TCTTGGAAACAGTCAGCTTTGGAGAAGAGAATAAAGGGAAAGCAGAGGAGCAGCCCAGTGCAGGAGCTGTGGAAATGGGCAAACAAACTGCTGCCTGCAGAAGTGTGCTTGCTCCCAACATGGGGATGGAAACAGGATTTGTGGAATCCACAGTTCCGCTGTCAGCAAATCCTTGTCAAACTCGCAGGAGCCTCCCATGCGTGCTCCTTCTCCTGGCGGCTGACAGCCTATTACTGCTGTAACCCACTCTGCTCGGCTTGACTGGCGTGTGCAGAGGCCGGGTTCCAGGCTGCTTGGAGGAGCATTCCAGCTTTGAGACGATGCTGTGTAACGGAATATCTTATCTGTGTGATGTCATTTAAAAGGGATATTAAGCCACGCTCTCCAAGATTAAATACCAGAGTGGAAGAATGGTTTGTAACTTCAGCTTGGCTTTCTTTTACATAAGTGCACTTTATGAGAAATCCTTAACAACTGGATTATTTCCCCGCCCCCCTCCCCTCCACAAAATTCCTGTCCTGCTTGGCGTGTGTGATAGGTTTGCTATGAAGATAGATCAGACTCCTGCAGGGGAAGGCTGTGGTGGATCCCTGATTCATTTTCTGATCTTGTTTGAAGTTATGTGGCAGAAGATACAGGAGAAGGAGGAATATATTCTCCTGGATAAGAAGCTGAATGCTGCCCAAGGAGTTATATCCTTGTCTGAATGCTGCCGGGGCGGATTGTATTCTTCCTTGTCTTTACCATAGAGTGCCCATGTGAGGTGTTCCTTTAGAGCAGACTTCTCCAAGGTGGTCATCCATCCAACGTGGGGCTTTTCCCTGGGTTCCACTTGGAACACCCGGTGGCTTTATACAAATGATAGACATCTAAAGAGTGTCTCAAGTCAAAGCTGTGCCTTAAAAGTGACCTAGTCTTGCACAGAATGTTATGTGAAGCACTTGGTTCTTTCCCCAAAACAAACAAAAAGCTCTCATATTTTGATATTCATAATTTATCTGTGCTGTTGCATCTCATCTGTAAGATGTGCTATTTGCCTAAGATATTTGCTGTGCTAGTAAATGTAATACAATATCCCTGAAGCATTTCAAAGCTGTAGAAGTGAGTTCATAAAAGGCAATATCTTGCATGCATGAAGAATCCTGTCCTCAGAAGAGAATTTGAATGTTCTCTAGGAAATAAAGCCAGTCAAAAAGCTGAACATGAGCTGGGGGAGGGCTACAAAATCATAGAGGTGACCGAGAGAGGAGCTAGGACATGTGGGAAGAGGCTCTGCTCTGATAGAGCAGCAAAACTGAACCACGTTAATGGTACAAATTTGATGACTATAGCCCTAGTATTTTCTGTTATTTTTGCTGCTGCTTTTGCTATTTTATATTATTGTTCTTATTGACTTGCTTGTTTGAAATATGTGCTCTGTTAGTTT